TATATTAGTTATTGTTGTTGTTGTTTGCCATCGAGTCGGCCCCGACTCCTGGCGACCCCTCCTTGGGTTTCCAAGGCAGTTATCACTATGGAAGTAGGATTGCCCAAACTTCTTTCTGAGGAGTGGGTTTGAACCACCAGCCTCCTGGTTAGCAGTCAAGTGCCTTAGGCACTAATATTTTAGTTAAGGTAAGAATAAAGGTGCCAGGGTGGTATGGTGGTTAAAGTGCTTAGCAGCTTAGTATAAGGTTAGTGGTTTAAACTCAACAGTCACTCTGCAGCAAAAAGAAATGGCAGTCTGCTTTGGTAAACATCGATAGCCTTGGAAACCCTGTGTGGCAATTCTACTCTGTCCCGTAGGGTCACTAGGAGTTAGAATTGATGCTGTGGCAACAGGTGTTTTTTATGGCAAGAATATTGAAATATTGTCTTATTTCTTTCATAATATTTCAGGGCATTGTTGTGACTATAAGGAAAAAGGAATATAATTTCCTAGACCAACGGAAAATGGAATTTGACCAGGATTATGAAGAGTTTTGCAAGCAGACTAATGACCTTCACGTAGGTTATGTAATACAATTCCTATTGACAGTTGCATGTTTATTTTCCCTTTGTGTTGGATACTGCAGATTATTAGGCATTCAGAATGGAGAGGTGTGTTCATCACAGAGGCAACGGACTGATAGCAGCCTTGGCCTGCGTTTGTGATTTCAGATTCATAATTGAGAGCTGTTTTCTGTGCATTAAAGGGCTATGAATACAGCTGTGGATAATGATCTCTAATCACGTTCCTGTGCATGTCTTCCATCTTAGGTCTTGGAAAGTTAACTTTCGTCTGTTGAAATGCAATGTGATTGGAATGTAGAAATTTGCTTCCATTTGTTTGTTCCTTAATAAAAATAATTTAGGCAAATGGGGGACTTAAGATGAGGTTTAGTGAAAGAGAGGCAAATCCCGCATGAGATGGGTTGACACGTCACCCACAACAATGGGCTTAAACATACCAGTGGGCATGCAGATGGCACGGGACCAGGCAGTGTTTTGTTCTCTTTTATATAAGGTCATTATGAGCTGAGCTGACTTGAGGACAAGAAGACAGGACCAGGACTCCTCCTGGGATTGTAGGTAGCCCTTTTCTCTCTTCCTTTGGTCCCTCTCACTGCAGACCAGCCATGTTAAATTCCAGCCATCATCAGCTTCTGAGAACATATCACAGGACCAGCCACATGTGTCTCCCATCTCCAGCTCCAAATTCCAGGGAAAAGGGTTGAGTGGGCCAGTTCTAGTGGGGTGCCTAGTCCTGACCTATCAATTGTAGAGGTCATGAGGTCCAAGCAGGAGATATTAGGATCTTCTGAAAGGTTGGGCATATTTGTTATCAGAGAAGGAAAATTGGAGTAAGCTGGAGGACAGCCCAATAGGTGTCTGCCATGATTGATATGCCAATAGGGAAACAAACGTGTCTGTCGGTTTGTCCTACCGTGGTGACTGAGATAGACTAGGAAGAAGGAAGAGACCATCCACTTCTCAAAGAAATTTCAAAGAGCAGCTTGAGCAGACAAAAAAAGAAAAAAAAAAAAATTAAGCCTCGAGTTGCAATATTGAGAGATTCTATGGGCAAAATATTGAGTGATGCAGGAAGCATCAAGGGAAGATGGCAGGAATACACAGAATAATGGTAGCAAAAAGAACTGGTTGATCTTCATCCATTTCAAGAAGTGGCATATTATCTAGAACCAATGGTACTGAAGGAAGAAGTCAAAACTGCAATGAAAGAA